GATATTTTTTATCGTTGGGAAATCATCACCGAGTCCCTAAGATTTAGGAGACTTAACAATTCATCCTGCTATTAACACTAAACTAAATTTTGAAACAAAGTTCTAAAAATTAAAATTAACTAATAACCTTTGCTTCTTTTTTTAAAAATCATTTTTATTTTTTTATTTTCCGTCGATGTAAAAACCATCATCAATACCTACAAAAGATAGAAAACTTGACAATTATCCACCTATTGATTACTTAGTCTAATTACCGAAATAAATAAATAAATAAAAAGATTACATTAATTAAATACAATGAAGGAAATTCAAACATTGAAATAGCCGCATAAAATAAAAAAATACAAAAAATTAATTCAAAATTTAATGAAATAAAACTAAGACTCTTTTTCTTTTATTCTTTTTTTTAAAAAAAAATCTTTTTTTTATTTGGTGAAAGGTCGTTATCGGAGAAATAGGAGATTTGACAATCCTCTACCTATTTCTTAATGAGCTTAATTATTAAACAAATAAAATAAAGTTATATTAATTAAGTAAATTAAAGACATTTCAAATATGAAAATCTAAATTAATAACAAAACATGCATAAATGAAATAAAGATTACAATTACTTTAATTAAATTAATTACGGACAATTTAAATATTAAATTCTAAATTAAATATAACTAATAGACATGCAATAAATTTAAAATTACAATTACATTAAAAAATTATTAAAACAATTAAAATATCTAAATTAAATACTAAATGCTAAACATGTAAAAAATTTATAAAAAATAAATTATAGTCAAACATTTGCTCTTGTTATTATTATTATTATTATTATTTTGGTTCAAATTTTCCTTCTCTCTCTTTTTCTCTTTTTTTCCTCTCTTTTTCTTCCCTACTTCTATTTATTCACTTTTATATTATTATTATTATTCTTTCGGGAGAGGCTGAAATGATTCCAGCCTCTCCTATATATAAATATATATGTATGTTTTTATTTTTTTATTTGGGAAAAGGCTGGACTGGACAACTCAGTCCCAAAACCAACAATCAACCCAACCTCAACAATCTTCTCTCATAACCTGCTAGCAGAGGAAAATCACAACACCATAGTCCACTCACTTTTCTCAGTTTATTCCATTTAGGTAACTTAAATTTGTTCATTTTTCATTTCATTGATTGCATAACGTTAGTTTTAGTTTTAAACTTAAGAACAAGGAGATGGCAGTGGCAAAGCTCACTGCCATAGTGAGCCGATGTTGCTCAACTCTCCCCACACAACGCTGATGATGGAATAATGAGGAACTTTAGAAGTTCGATTCTGTGGGAAGGATTTATGGGCAGGGTATAAGAAGCCAGTCAGAGGGAGTTCAAGTGAAGGAGGAGGAAGAAGAAAAAGAGAGGGAAGAGTTAGGCTGGATTGGGCTTAGCCCAGTCTAGGGAAAAAAAAACAGAGAGAGAGAGAGAAGAAGAAAAAGAAGAAAAAATGAAAGGTTTAAGGAGAAATGGGCTAGGTCTAGCCCAATTTAGTAAAAAAGAAAGAAGAGTTCCATTGGGCTAGGTCCAGCTCAAGAGGCCTAGCCTAGCCGGCCTGGCCTAATGGACCGAGGCCTACTGGATCCAAAGGGCTTAATAACCATATTTTTAGCCTTTTTCTAGGTGAATCAGTCTTGAAATTTTCTTAAATACATGCCTAATTTAGGTTGAATATTTTAAACTGTTGAGTTTTATTTATTTAATTAACCGAAATGTTAATTTTTTTTAGGTTTATCTTAATAATTAAATTAAATAAATTATAGATGGACGAATGGTCAAGCACCTTAATTTTTAAGGAAAACCATCATTTTCACAAACCCCATAAAAAAAAAGGGCTAAAAGTGGCTATAATTAAAAATCATGTTGACTAACCAAAAAGGCTAAAAAAGGCTACAATTGGAAGAGGAAAAAAAAGAGGCTATATGCAGCCGAAATGTTTTCGATGCATGTAAACATCAAAGAACTTTATTGACTAACCAAAAAAGATAAACTCTCCTTCTTGATAATGTTGCTTAAAATATCTGTAAAACTTGTATTTTTCATAGAAAAATTCCTTTTCATCATTAGACCATATAAGAAACTTCATAGAAAATTTACACCATAGAGAAAAGAAAATACAATTAGTACGAAGAATCCATTAATTTATGTTCTACGAATATTATACCATACATATATTCTACGGATTAATGTTATTTTAAATATTTTATCCCATATGTTATCGTATATTTATGATAAAAAAAGATGAACTTTTTCGAAACATTTAAATTGCTAAAAATATCTTTAAACTAATTTTTCGCAATAACATTAAATATTAAAATATTGTGGTCGATTTCTTCAAACAATGGTTTTTTTTTTCACTTCTTTGAATAAAAAAAATCTGTAAAATATTATTTATTTCATTTTCCTTAATGACTTTGATTCCTTATTAACATGTCATCTAAGTGATAAATGAGATATACAAAGGCAATAAACTATTTCGACGTAATTAAAACATTCAAGAAAAGGAAATCAAAACTTGGTGTTCAGATTTTTTTTTTCACTAATTAGTACGGAAAGGATTGAGGTTTTCATATGGTATTGGTTTGCTTCATGATTCAGTTAGAAGACCAGGTTCGTGTAATAATTTTTCAAATTATATTAACCAGAAGAAAAGAAAAGAAAGAGTAAACTTATGGGAAATGGGCTTAACAGAAATATCCAATAAGTAATTAGCGACATGTACAGGTTGTTAATCTATGAAATCACTTAAAGAAGAAAGATAAACCCATAAAAATGAGGAAGAAAATTAAAAAAAAAAAATTGAGCAAATATGAAAATCTTTTTATTACTTTTAATGGATCCGAATATAATTTTATATGTATATCTCTTTCTTCTAAATGGATTCATGGAGTAACTATTTAGTCCAATTTTTTATACTCATTTTTCTTCCTGCAGTATCCATATCAGTCAGTGATTTTTCTGGATTTAAACTCAGAGATTTTTTATTCAAAAGTTTAAATTTTAAATATTGAATTGATCACTTGAGAATAAAATTTGAAGATCATTGCTATCGATTACTTAATCGACGAAGTTGTTTTGGTTGAGAAATCTAAAAATGAAGTTTCAGTCACAACTGAATCCTCAGTTTATAAAATTTAATGGAGTGATAAAAGTTTCTTTAACTCGAGGGTTTGTACTCTTCGTTTTCAATATGATGCATATGGAGTGCTCTTATTCCGCAAGAGACGCTTTGAATTAAAAATAAATTTATTTATTTTTGAGAATCGATTGCTATGCAAAGGTACAACAAGCTGTTGATGAATAATTAATGTTATGTATAATTGTTAGTTTATGAATTTATTTAAAAAAAAAAATAGACACATAAAAATAAAAGAGAGAATTTAAAAAATAAAAATTGAGTAAATATGAAAATATTCTTATATTTTTTATGAATTCGAAAATAATTTTATATGTTTATCTCTATTCTCTAAATACATTTATGGAGTAACTACTTGGTATAATTTTTTATACTGATTTTTCTTCCTGAGGTGGTCATGTCAGTCAGTGTAGCCGAAATAACACATTGCAATGGTCTTATGTTTCTCATTTCATGAACAAGCCTGAACCTGCAGTTAAGCTTGCGTGCTCTGAGCTTATAGAATATAATTCAATGGACCCGGACTCCATATCCAGTAACCTGGAATTTTCATCAACAGCTGCACAGTCACCAGCCACTCCTTTTCTCATTTTCAGGGGTCTTTTTCTTGACTTTGCCATTCTTTCTCTGTCCACCTTTTTCTCATTTGGGAACCAAAGAGAAGGACATCTATGTGCTTATTTGCCAGAGTTTCAAAACGTAGGGAGCCCAAATTTATAACTTGCCAAGTGCGTGATCTCCCTGCCATAGAGAAACCAGACAAAGCATCATAAGTCTTTGCTTTGATGAGCTACCAGGTAGAATAAAAGAAGGAAAGATGTACGAGGAATTAATAGACCGCATTCCTACTGTAATTCCACAATAGTCTAACTCTGAAGGATAGAGTGCGGTCGATTTTGCCTATTTAGCAGATAAGGTTGTTCTTCTTTTGTTTCCAGTGTCATTAATTTGAATGAGTTATGCTTCGGTCGTCTTATGTTTTCGGATGGGACGTCGAATGGATCTTAGGGGATTGGAGATGGCCACCCAGCCTCCAACGAGAAAAAAAAAAAAAGTCTTGACATTAGCTACCGAGTTTAGATTGAGAGTTTATTATATGAGTGGTGAAGTATATATATATAAAAAAAATGAAGTGAGATTGAAAGAATGATAGATATGGAAAATCGGAAATTATTATCCATTGAACTTAGTTTTGCTCAAATAGAGGCTGGAATTACATACAATGCTAAAGCAAAACCACAAACATGGTATTGCAAGTAGTTTATACATTGGATAGTTTGTCTGTGTTCGGAGATCTGCATGAACCTCTACATTGCATTAGGCATTTATATCCATAATTGTCAAATCTGATGAAACGTATAGCAAGATAAAAAGGGTGTTAATTCTCAGAAACTCTGAAAACAAAGAATACAATGAAGTTGTAGAGAATCTTCAAGTGTGAAATTTATTATTCAACAATAATAGACAGCGAAATGCCTAATAATAGCTTAAATAATCTATCCTAAACACAAACGGAAAACATAAAAAAGCAACAAATCATCTTTAAAACTGAAATTAGTCAAAACCTAAACAAAAATAAGGAAAATAACAAATAAAAAGTTATAATTCCTAAACAGCAGCCATTAGGGCTTGTTCTTGAAGAACAAGAAGAACAATCCCTGATTGTTGTGAGCTTCTGAATTAGATTTTGACCTGTAAAATAGCCACTATTAGAAATGGTGACCAACCCATGCTGTGATCTTCTGAATTAGTGTTCTGAATTGGTATGTGTTAAGACAGCTCTCTTCTCCTGTTCACTCATCTTCATCAAAGTTTCCTAGCATTACTAGAATGCTACTGTTCAATCATCTTCACCAAAGTCTGCTTCCTCTACTAGGACTGCTACTGCTACTGTCGTGTCCTCTTCTTCTCCTAGGACTGTTGCAGTCGTGACTTCTTCCTCTTCTAAGTCTCCTGCACATAATCAACAACAAGATACATACAGAAGTTAGATAGTATTCGTATCTGTTATTCTTGTACAATCTTTTATTGTTATCACTTGTGACAGACTCTAAGAGAGAGTATCACAAATCAATATACAAGGTGAAAATATTCTATAGTTAAAAGAATCCTATTACTTTAACTTGGTATTAGAGCTGCAAAAAGGCATTATTGCCACTCTTCTTCTCTCTTTAAAATTACTATCATTCTGCTTCTCCTTTACACACACCATTGCTGCATCTTTTTTCTTTTCTTTTTCAAAACACAAGATGGCCTCTTCTAGCAATACTCTCTCTCCCACTACTGCTACTACAAACCAAAACGGCCCTCCTACTCCATTAAGTTTGCTCAACAACTCCCCCACTTTCTCTCTCTAAAATTAACACATACTAATTATCTCTTGAGGCAAGTCTAGATGAAACCATTCCTCGTTGGCCAAGGCTTCTATGACTTCATTGATGGATCACGCTCTTGTCCTCCTAGCCACTTTACTATTACCAAAATAAGTCTTCCACATGTGAACCCTTCTCATCTAGTTTGGATCCAATAAGATTAGTTTCTCATGAGCAACATCATCTCATATCTCTCTCTCTCTCTCCCTCCCTCCTGATTTTCTTCCCATGATTATTGATTGCACCACTTCCCAAGAAGTCTAGTCTGTGCATGAGCGAGCTCTAGCTTCTCCTTCCAGCACTCAAATCATGTCCTTTATATCTTGCCTTACAAAAACTTTGCCAAGAGTCAACTAAATCAGTCTCTCAATTTCTACACTAAGCAAAATCTTACAGTGATGAACTCTCAATAGCTGGCCAACCCTCTCTTCTATTGACTTCAACCTCTAAGTATTTAAGGAACTTTCTAAAAGACTTTAAAAATATCATCACCACCCTTACCACAATAGCTGAATCGGTAACATTCACTAATCGTCATAGCTTTCTTATTAGCCACGTGTTCTTAAATCGTGATGCTTTTTCACTCTTCAACGCCAAATTTACATTTATTACCCACTCCACCTATTGCCAACCTCATTTACAAATTCACTAGCACCTATTTTGATCGATCTAGTGCCTACAACTGTGGTTAAGGTATGTTCTTTCGAGTTTGAAGGCGTGGAAGATTCAATCCCAGGTATGAAAACTATGCGAATTCTAAAAATAGAGGGAGTTGGCATCAACATGATCAGCGAACCCAGTGTCATATATGTTCTAAATAAAGGGAGTTTAGGTAATTAATTTTTGTTTTTATTGTACCATTTGGGCATGTCATTACAGTCCCTGTGCTTTGAATTTTTTCAATTGTATCTTATTTTTTTGTTAGCAGAAAATTGTCATCATTGTCTAAAAATTAAAAAACTCAATAATTTATTCACGAATTAATTATCTAAACTAATTATTAGAATAAAATTCTAAAATCAAAATTAAATAAATAAATTTCAAGAGATCCAAAACATTAAATATAAATTAAGCAAGAAATAAAAATGCATAAATAAAAGACATTTATGGTTAATTTATCTAAAAATATAATACATGAAATTAGAACATTAGGCTTTTTGGGTTCAGTGGGCCCGCTACCCATGGGGCGAGGCCATCCCTGCTCTTTTCTTGCACGGGCCTGGGCTGGGCTGAGGCGAGCCCAGCCTTGGTTCCACTCCAACCCACAATTCTTTTTCTCTCCTAACCAAGCTAAGTCCACAAATAGGTTTCGACTTTCGATTGTTTCCTAACTTATTTTCGATCAAACTGTCTCTCCTCTCTGTCTCTCGCTCGTCTCTCTTCTTTCTCATTCAGTACCCAAAAAGAACTTCCCTCTCTTCTCCCTTCATCTCTTTCGTTTATCAAGACTAAAAAACCTACTGAGATCGAAACAATCTCCCTCTCTAAGCCAAGTTTCTTTCATTTTCTCAGACCCAATCCAATTTCCTCACTCTCTCACTCGTTCGTCTCTCATCTTCTTATGTCTTCCTTACCCAGAAAAATGCAGAAAGCCTTCTCTCTTCCTTCTGGTTGATTCCCCTCATGTACAAAGAAAGGGGGGGGGGGGTTATATGTTATATGATGGCACTGCCATCGTTGGTTTTTTTTTTTTTTTTGCACAAACCGAATGACAGGGGAGGTTGATGAAATGAATCGAAACGAAAGGGGGAGTGAGGGGTTTACGCTGAGTTGCTCGATTGAAAATGGAACAATGGCAGTGAGGGCGAAGTAGCCTTCTGCTTGCTCTCTTCCAGCTATTCTTCGTTCAAATCCAGAAACCCAGAAATACCTATGAACCTAGAAAATCTTTGAACCCAGAAAACCTTTGACGTCCTGTAAGCCTTTTAAATTCTTAAATTTCTCAGAGATTCTCCTCTCAATTCCCTCCTCCCAAGTTTCTCAGAATTCTCACAATTTCTTCTCTCAAATTTCTCTAAAATTCCTCAGCCTAAATTTCCTTCCAATCCTCATTGTCTATTTCCCCAACTCCCAGCCTTTTTATAAGCAACCTAATACCCCCAGAATCATTTCATGTCTTGAATTGTCTGTTACAAAAGCCAGAAACCCAGTACTGGGTTTTTGGCACTGTGAACAGACAATTGGAATGGTGTCTGTGTGTGGGTGCAGAGTGGTGCAGGGGTGGTGTAGTGGTGTAGGAGTGCGGTGCAGTGGATCAGAGGCAGCGTGATTCTTAGCTGGTACAATTGCTAGCCAAGAATCACAGAGAATGAACAAACAAAAATTTTGTCTCCAGTGGAAAAGCTGAGGAACAAACCCATGAACAGATTCTGAGTTGCACCGAACGACAGGCAGTTCACTCGAATTTAGTCCTGTCGTTCGCTCCTAAATTTCAATTTGGCCCCTATGAATTTTGATTATCTACAATCGCATCCTTTGATATGTAATTTCAGTCCCTATGAATTGTAATTTTTTCAATTAGGTCCATATAAAGTATAAGTTAGGTTTTAAATTTTTTGATTGATTCAATTGTATCTGTAATTGCATCAATTATATTTTTGTTTGATTCAATTGTACCTCTGAATTTAATTAATAAAATTTTTATATTTTATATATATATATCTTCTTTTTTGTATTTTTTATTTTACTTCTTTTTCTTTTTGATAAATTTCTAAAATAAAGCAAAAGAAAATAAAAATAAATAAATGGGTGAAATTTTTTGGGTTATAACACTCTCTACCTTTTACACCTAGAAAAACAAATAGGATTGAACGAATAAAAATCCCTAATTTCTCAAAATTTCCCAAGTCCTCTCTGCCTCTTCCTTTGAAATTTCCCACAATTCCTCATATTCGCCCCTAATTGCTCTTTCTGAAATTTCCCACAATGGTTCTCTCCCAATTTTCTTTCTTTTAATGGTTCTCTTTGTTTCCTTCCCCACTTTAGAAACCCTAATTCAAACCCATATTTATATCTAAAACTCCCTCGGCTCACTTTTGGGATCAATTTCCTTAAACCCCAAACTTTTTCTCAATCGACAATACTTTTAGGCTCTTGCCAGTTTTGGCTATGCATTAATAGACCCAAAACCTGTGTTTTTTGTGTATGTGTTTTTGTATGTCTAGTGTTTTTATGTGTGCAGCTTGTTACAGGTGCAAGCTGGTTGGTTTGTCCCTTTAGCCTATTGTCTTCATTGATAAAGGTGATCAGTGTTGAAGGATGGTGTAGTATAGGGCATGCGTGCCAAGGCAAAGTTGGAAGGATTCAAACGATAGGTCGTTTACATGATTTTAAATTGGTCTTATTGTTCATGTCACGTGTCAATTTAGGTCCATGTAGGTTTAATTTTGTTTCGATTATATTATCTGGGCATGTTACTATAGTCCCTATGCTTTTAATATTTTTCAATTAGATGCCTATATCTTTCAGTTTCAATTCCAATATTTTGACTTGTTCCCATTATGTCCCTAATTGTCTCCAATTGCATTTATTTTTCATTCAATTGCGCCCTTTTACTAAAAATTGAAAATACAGTTAAATAAAAGGATAAAATAAAATAAGTAAGTAAATAAAAAGTAAAATAAAATGGGATAAATAAATAAAAAAGATAAGACAAATTAAAATGATGAAAATACAAATTGAAAAATCGGTTAAACAAAACAAATTTTTTTCTTTCTTTTTTCTTGTGAAATAAAAATGTAAAGCTCTAAAATTAAACTTATAAACTAGAATAAAATATGAAAATAACATAAAAAAATATTAAAAACAAATATTACTCAAATTTTGGGTTATCACAAAACATACACCAAATTAGTGTAAACACTAGATATCGTAACTGTTACTAATGCTTGAATCAATTAAATGCATACATGAATAAAACATATCGAACAATCTTTCTAGGTGTGGCAATGGTGTGAAACCACGTATGTACATACGTGCTTATTAACAATCATGCACGGATTTACTTATTAACAATTAAGGCTTTGATATTGACGCATCAATTGCACTTTCAACAAATTAATAAACCTAGAATTATTTGTGGTTTGAGAGACACAAAGAAGTGCATACTGTTGGGAGGAGACTTTGTAATAATAATTGAAAGAGAGAGAGAGATAGAAAATATCGATCCGACGGAAGCTTCGTGCACCATACATTGCCTTTGGGATTAAATTTTCTCCAGCCACAACTCACATTGTCTATATAAAGCACCACAAGTCCTGCATGGCTGAGAAACAAAACCACTTTATATCTCAAGCAAGAATCATTTGAGTTTCCTCTTCCTGTCCCTCAACGCAACCTCACCCCAATCCATGGACATTATTGATAATATTTCCGAGTACCAAAATTACTGGGATACTATCAGGTTTTGGAATGAAGAGCTTAATTTTAGGTACCCCTTCTTGTGCATTTTGCTTTGGATGACCAAACATTTATTTTATTGTATATTTTCTATTGTTTATCCCGTACAAGTTTTTCAACTTAAAAAGGGAGTTTAATTTTGATGCAGTTGGGCAACAAATGATCAGCAATTAAATCTGGAGTACTATGATTCAAGCTCGCCGGACGGAACTGCTTCGACAATGTTAGCCCCTAAAAATACTGTTTCAGAGAGGAACAGGAGGAAGAAGCTTAATGACAAGCTCTTAGCACTTAGAGAAGCAGTCCCCAGAATCAGCAAAGTAACCCCACTAATTAATATATACATTTCAACTGTAATTAATTAATAGTGCTAATGCTTACCATTTTGTTTGTTGGATTTTAATTAATTTTCATTTTTTGGGTTGATCAAATTTAGATGGACAAGCCTTCCATAATCAAAGATGCTATTGAGTACATCCAAGATTTGCAAGAACAAGAGAAGAGACTCCAAGCTGAGATAACGGAACTAGAATCCCAAAGATTGATGAAAGATCCTGGTTACGACTATGAGCCTGAGCTATCAGTCTTGTTAAGATCCAAGAGAACAAGACATGACCAAATTTGGGATCGCAGGTTGGCTAGAAGTTGTCCTATTGAAGTTCATGAAGTGAGTTGCTCTCCGACTATGCCCATCTTAAATGATTAGTTAGTAATTCTCTCTCTGATTTTTCATCTAAATTAAAAAAATATGATCAAATGCCAGTATGTTTTGTTGGTATTTGAACAATTTTTTAAATATAACATATATAAATAGAAAAGTAGACAATTTTTTAAAATTGAAAGAGTATTATGTTACTTATGGTTTGTTTGGTGATGTTTTCTGCAGCTTAGCATTACTTATATGGGAGAGAACACTCTGTTCGTGAGCTTGACATGCAAGAAAACAACAGACACCATGATTAGGATTTGTGAGGTTTTTGAATCTTTGAAGCTGAAAATCATCGCAACAAATCTTACTACTCTCTCAGGGATGGTCAAGAATACAGTGTTGATAAAGGTTAGCCTCTTTTCTTCTTCCTCCTCTCCATCATTTCAGTCTAAGTGACACAAATTTGACAACGGTTTGTGACTTGCAGGTAGATGAAGAAGAGAAAGAGCATATGAAGATAAAAATTGAAAGAGAGCTGTTTCAGCTTTTAGATCCACATACTGTCCCATAATCCACTAATGGGAAATTGAAGTACAGTTTCTATATTGCCGTCATGGCTTTAGGAGATCAAATCCAAGTAAATATTAGTCTTAATTAGAAATTGTAATTGGATGTTGCAAATTAATGTTTAATTTCTCTCTCTCTCTCTCTCTATCTCTCTCTCTCTCTCTCTCTATATATATATAAAGTATAAATTATTGAAAAGAGGTTTCGACATGGGGAATGGGCATCAGAAAGCAGAAGTGTTCACATTGTGTACTGAAAATACAAGAAAAATGATGAATTTTAAGCAACATTATTAAGATAAAAAAGTGTCTTTTTTGGTTAGTCAAGAAAGTTCTTTCAGGTTTCTATGCACCAACAACTACGGAAATAAGACCACACCGTCCATGACCAATTTTACTTCATTAATGGTGTTTTTTGTTACTTTCCTTCTCTAATTTATTGTCCACACCAACTGTTGTCCTGTTTATTCCAATGTTTTGAAAATGCTTGGTGTAATTATACCAATGGAAATGTAATTAACTTGTTATTTTGAAAATTACGACCATCCTTGATTCTATATGTTTAGCATTCTCTTAATAACAGAGTCACCTTACACATTGCATTACTCTTGATAACCTTATTAATTAAACCAGAGTTACTTATACGATAGAATTTATATATAATGATAAATATTATTTCAGTCTAAAAACTTAAACTATTAAATTAAATGGTGTGAAATTCTCCACTCACATGTAAAACATAAACAATAAGAGATTTAGCACTTATTATAATTAATTAAACTAAGTGAATAAATGTTACGTACTTATATCTATTATTCCTTTTGTTTCAAAAAAATTATATTTCTTTCTATTTATATTTGTCTCTAAATACTTGTCTGGTCCAAACATTAAATAATGTATTTTTTTTTCTAATATACTTATAATTCATAAAGAAAATCAATCTTTTTTTTTATTTTTTGTTTTTCACTAACAAAAAATCCATATTTTTTTTTATATGTAAAAAATTTGAAAAGAAATTTTTTGTTACATGAAAACATTCATCTTGTTGAAACTTCACCGCTTGTTGAAATTTTCAGAATAAAATATTTCTATTAATATGTTAATTTTTTATAATTTTTTAAACTTCAAATTTTAATTAAGTTAATGATTTTTTTATTTACCTCTTTAGTTTTAGATAAAAATTTCTTAAATCAATATTGAGTCAATGTAATGCAATATGATATTTGATAATTAATAATTTTAATAAAAATAATATTTTTAGAAAAATATAAATAAAAAATGTTATATGGAATAATAATTAATAATTTTATAAAATTTTATAAAAAAAATAAATGAGGCAATTTCTTTGAAACAAAATGAATATCAATTTTCAACGAAAAGGGACTCAATAGGATATTCTTAGCCACGCATACAGCAGCCGTACATGATGGAGTAAATTCTGTCTGACCGGAGACCGTACCACAATATATGATTGAATGTCCTAGGTTAAAAGATTCACCATGACTAACAGTGAAGTCTTTCGGCCACAATTTTCGAAGAAATACAACACCATAAGCAAGTTTGGATAGAGTGAATCAAAGTCACGCCGTATAAAATAAAAAAGCCAATCCGTCTCCTCTTTAATACTAACCACAGTTTTGTTTCTTAGTCATTATTTTTTAAAACTAATTATTTAGTTTTTATTTTTTTTATAACTTAGTTTTTTTATTTATTTTGATTTTTTTAAGAAATGAAAAAATAACAAAAAATAAATGAAATAATTAATAAAAAATATAATATTTTATAAAATAAAGTAATATTAAATTAAGAATATTCAATACTGGTTAATCGGTGACTCAAGATTATTAGATTTCTTATAATGTAAATGATCGATCCCATTAATTACATCGTTAAGAGTTACTACTATTGCAAGAGTAAAGTTATCTTGTTCTTAATAGATTAATTAATTTATACTAAAAATATCTATTCATCTTTTTCATTTAATAGATACTAGTTTTTTTGCTCGCGTTACGCTACGGGTTGAATAAAATATATAAAATCGTTTACAAAAATTATTTCAGTTTGATAGTATGTTTTATGGTAAATTTATAAAAATATATGAAATCAAAGATAACAAACAATTAATGATAATTTTTAATAAAAATTTTTGTATTTAACTATTTTTTAGTTGTGTTTTTTATAATTTTTTTATTTAGAAAAAGATTTATCCTTGTTAATCTATGGATTATTAACTAAAAAGAAAATTAAATATATTTTTTAAAAAAAAGCTTTAGTATTTTATAAGATTGTGTCCAAAAACATAAATAACAATTCTTAAAAGCTTACATAGAATCGAACAAATTGTTTTTTTTTATTTAATGTTGATGGGAATATCGGTTTTTGAAAAAATATGAATTTAATTTTTATATATTTATTTACAAAAGAATGAATAATATTAAAATAAAAAAATTATATTAATTTGAATCGTTGAGTGGTTAAGTCAAGACATAATTTTAATTATTTAGTTTAAAATAAGTTAATTTTAAAATATTCAAAAATAAATAAATAAATAGTAAATGCTTAGTGTAGTATTAGTTGCACAGCTTAATTTCTAAAAAATAACGATTCGATATTTTTTTATACATTATAATTATACTAAGTGAGTTTAGAGTTTTTAGTCTAAAACAAAAAATACTATAAAAAAAAAGTTAACTTGCAAAGACTCTATTAACTAAATTTGAAGTTAATAGACTAAAATAAAAATCATTACAAATTTAATTTTGATTAATTTTGATTATATAAAGAATAAACAAATTAATAAAACATGTGAATTCTTTTTTTTCCTCCTTAAATATTTTTCGATTTCTATGCTATACATGGCTAGTCCTTGAATACAGGTCCCACGTGCGAGCAACCATCTTCTTTTTATTTTTCACATTTTACTTTCAACTATTAATTAATCAATTTGAGTTTATTTCTAAAAGAAAAAAACCAAGCAAAAAGATTTAAAATAAATTTTTAATCTAAAAATGTATTTTAGGCAAATTATATATATTAATCATGCCATTATAATTTAAAAGTTACCTAAATCTATTTTTCAAAGAAAAAATAATCATGTTCTAAAACTTTATTCCAAAATCCATACATATAGAAAAATAAATCAAAACTATCAGTAAATATAATTTTAAATTCATTGGATGAGAATTTTAAAAAATAACAAATTAAAGTAGTAAATGTTAAATAATAAAAATAATTAACAAAAAACACTAAAATAAAATGGGACCAAATCACAATATAATCAAAGTTTGAAATTGAAAAAGAAAAAAAATTAAAAATGACAAATTAATGTAGTAAAATTTAAATAATATAAAAATAGAGAAAAACTTATTTGAAATACACTTTTAATCTGAAAATGTATTTCAAACAAAATTATATATATTAATCATGCCACTATAATTTAAAAATTATCTAAATCTATATTTCAAAAGAAAAAAAATCATGTTCTAAGAATTTATTCGAAAATCCATACATATGAAAAAATAAATCAAAATTATCAGTATATATAATTTTAAATTAATTGAGTGAGAATTTTTTTAAAAAATAAAAAATTAAAGTAGTAAATTTTAAATAATAAAAATAATTAACAAAAAAAATAAAACAAAATGGACAAAATCACAATATAATTAAATTCTAAAATTAAAAAAAATGACAAATTAACGTAGTAAATTTTTAAAAATATCAAAAAATCAATAAAAAATTATTTGAAATACATTTTTCATGTAAAAATGTATTTCAAAAAAATTATATATATTAATCATGCCACTATAATTTAAAAATTATCTAAATATATTTTTCAAAAGAAAAAATAATCATGTTCTAAAAATTTATTTCAAAATCCATACATATAGAAAAATAGATCAAAACTCGTCAGTAACTATAATTTTAAATTAATTGAATGAGAATTTTAAAAAAATGACAAATCAAAGTAGTAAATTTTAAATAATAAAAATAATTAACAAAAAACACTAAAATAAAATAGGATCAAATTACAATATAATTAAAGTTTGAAATTGAAAAAGAAAAGAGAATTTAAAAAATAAAAAAAAGAAGACAAATTAAAGTAGTAAATTTTAAATAATAAAAATAATTAACAAATTAAAGTTTGAAATTGAAAAAAAAAAGAGTTTTAAAAACGGACAAATTAAAGAAGTAAATTTTAAATAATAAAAATAATTAAAAAAAACTAAAACAAAATGGGATCAAATCACAATACAATTAAAGTTTGAAATTGAAAAAAAATAGTATAAACAATTGAGGACCAAAGTTATACAAAAGTGGCATGAATAGTGAAAGGAATAGTGACTTGTGAGTGTGTGAATAGTATTTCAAATAGTGACATGAATAGTAAAACATGGTTTTATTTTAGTTTTTTTAGTAATATATGTGTGTTATATTTACCTAATAAATCATATTCAAATTTTCTGAAATTACAACAAAAAGTACATCGAAAGTTGGCTTTTTTGTTGATGAATTAAAGACTTTTACTTTTGCACCAATTAGCAGATATTTTAAACTTCTCGTATGTAATAATAATAATTAAAAAAAAAAGAGACAATTTTGGTAAACAATCAGAAAAACCCTAATGGTTTATGCACATAGTGGCTATTCGATATATTTTTGGATAAAAAACAGTCTTGCACTTGTTTCTTTTTTTTTTTTTTTTTAGTAGTGCTAAAAAAAATTAACGACAAAAAACTATTACTTATCGAAATGACAGAAAATATAATTAAAAAGAAAAACCTCACCCACTTAAGAGGTAAATCTACTTTACATTATGTTTTAGACTTGAATGCAAAAATCACTTCTGTACTAGCTAATCAAACCAAAACTAACACTAAACAGAAAAGAGAGAGGAAAAAAAAAGGTTTTTAGCGACATAACTTGTTTAGTGTTGCCAATTTATTATGATAGAAGGATATGAATTGCATAAATGGGTTATTACATTTATATGGTTCCTAAAGTTTGA